AAAGATTGTAGTTTTGTTAGGATTTCATATTTGAATTTTATAAATAGAACATAACAAATAGTGTGGGGAGATAATGAGCTCTCCTTTAATAGGGTTTCAAAGTGACTCAATTCTGAAAAAGAATTAGGGTAGACCAAAAAATTGTTAGCAGTATTTTGTTTTCCATTATCTATCGATAGTTGTTAATGTCCATTTATTTAGGAGATGTATTAAATTTTTGTACTTATGAGATTGGAACATGCAACTAAAACTATGGATGTTCAAAATAAGTCGTCATTTAGTAATGATTATTTAAAAAAAAAAAAAATTGTGTGGATATGGAACGTAACAAGTCCCATCATGCCGCAAAAACATTTATGCTTAAGTAATTATTGAAGGTGAGGTTCCCTCTTGTTCCCATAATATCTCATTTTTTTTGAGTTTTTAGTATAGAATCGCTTTCAAATAGGGATGGCAACGGTGTGAGGCAGGGTGGGGAGTATACTTTCCGTCCCTATTCTCGAAAATCTGACCTTACCTTCGTCTTTATTTCCGACGAAAAATTAAAAATAGTCTCCATCTCCATTCCTGCAGGGATGAAAATTCTCCGTCTTCGATATTTTTTAGTCAAACTTTTTAATTAGTGTAATTTTTAATTTTTTAAACTAAAAAACTAAGTTTTAATTTAAAAAATTAATATATATATATATATATATATATATATATATATATTATAATAATTATTTGATGATGTGGTGGGGCAAGGAGGGGTATTCACGTTCCCTCCCCATTTTCTGAAAATTTTTCTCATTCTTATTTCCTTCCGAACGGAGATCGGAAATCCCGTTCGTGGCGAAACAAATTATCATCCCTACTTTCAAACTTAACTTTTAAAAAGGTTTTATCTTAATATATAAACTATAAAGATAAACAAAATGGGCAATTTATATCCTACACCACGGCGCGCGTTGCACTATGCGCCCAGATGCAAAACGGCGTCGTTTTAATTTTTTTTTTTTTAAAATTTCCCGTCCCAGTGAATGGCAGTAGTTTTTTCTTAAAAAAAAAAACCCGCTGTTCAAGAATGTACATAATGTTATACTAGAATACACATAATGTTATACATGAATGTACATAATTATATAACAAAATATACATACTCTTTTTAAAAGATAATACACATAATCTAACATAATACATAATAAACATAAAATTTTAACATAATACACATCAACTATTAACATAATACACACAAATTTTCTGATTCGGATGTACATAATTGTCTAAAAAGAATGTACATAATTGTATAAAAAATACACATAACTGTATGAACCAATACACATAACGTTGTGAACAAATACACATAATCTCAGCAACTTCCTACCGCGCCTCCCAACACTACCCCAAAACGACGTCGTTTTGGGAGGCGCGCGACGCACAATGCTATGTGCACCGTGGTGTAGGATATATGTAGATAGTCCAAAGCTTTACTATCATGCCAAAGGCCCAAGTCCATATTTAAAGATAATCAAATGTAGATAGTCCATATCATGCCTGGACCAGACCGGCCCAATAAAAATGTTATAAGAAGCCTCTCCTCAGTCCTCAACACCATCCCTCACCACCCATACTAGGGTTCGGCCGCCATTGACGATAAGAAACCAAGATGCAGATTGCTGGCCAAATTTTCTCTGTGAATTTTTTTCATTTTTTTTCTTTAGTTTTGAAATTATGATGATAAAGAAACAGGTCTGGGCTGGGATGAGATGAAAGGGGAGAGTTTTTACGATATATAGCTCTGAAATACCCGCAGGTATTCTGCGGGGTGCCCTTTGAATCCTCGGCCCTTTACATCAAACAACAATGGCATCATAGTACGGGTTTGATGCTTTTAAGGTTTGGGTTCTTCTGTTTTCCGAGGAGCGATTGGTTTGTCTCTTTTGAGCCATATTTGTTGCTTTCGGAAAACTGCCCGCCTTGAGATCTCTTCTCTCAAATCCGCCTCCAAACGCCATTACATTTCTTAACTCTGTTTCTTTTCTTTTTTTCTATTTCATTTTTTTGGATTTGGGTTCTTGTTTTTGTTTAACAGAATTAATTGGAAATAGTTTAATGGTTAATATTTTTACTTTTTAAAATTTAATCTAAGGAATATTTAGTCATTTGATATGGTAATCAAAAGCCACCTAATTCTATGTATTACATTAAAGCAAAATTGTGTTAATTGGCCTACGTAAGTGCGTATTCTTTTGGTATAGAGGAATCAAAACTAGGTTGCCCATTCTAATTGATAAGTATGATATTTCTAACTATGGTTGCAAGATAGATTTCACTTTAAGTCAAAAGATTCTCATAAATCAAAAGAGGAATAAAAACTCGCATGATTTTAATTTATACCTCAACTTGGAAGAGGGAACCTATCTAAGTAGTGCTTGAATTTGGATAATGAAATTACAACAGTTTCAAAATTATTTATGAACCTAAAAAAAAGGGAATGCATTGAAGTGGAAGAAGAAGGTATTGGGGGGAACAATTTCCACTATTCACAACTAATATTCATACAATATCACATGTATACATATGTTTGTATTTACTCATGATTCTTTACTTTCTCATAAATTTGTAGTCCAAAGAATTTAAATTACAATCACTAAAATTCGTACCTGAACTGATAATTAGGATATCATTTACACTACATGGTAATTGGCGTGTTCAACTATTTTATATAGTTGGGATAAAAATGACAAAGGAAAAAATATTAATAGTAAACTTGATAAGAAATTATAAATGTACAATACAAAGAACACCAAATAAAAGTATTTAATGTCACTTATATTACAAATAGATTTTTAATTTCAATTAATAATTAAACTTAAAATTAATGTCAAAAGAAAAATCTGAAGGGTAAAATTATTTGTTAAAAGAAAAATTATGTGCCTTCAATTTAATCACTTAATTTGTTAACTACAAACATATAATTGGATTGTGTGTTTGCAAGCACCCAATCTCATTCGTCCTGCTACCATCTCCAAATATCACTACTAGAAATTATAGAATTTTCAACTACCTGAAAGTGACCTTAAATCAAGTTGAAAGTAAAAAGTGGTCGGAAATAGCAATAAAGGTTTTTTCGAATACCAAAAGTGATTGGAACAAGACTTTCAATTTGATTTAAGATCACTTTTAGGTGGTTATGAAATTGTTTCCGTAGTGGATTGTTTTACCATCTCCTCGAGTCGATTAAGTGCATCCCCAATCTGCTTTGTAATGCAAATAGCAGCATTATAAGCAGCAACATCATGACAACATATCCATACTCCCACTGATAAGAAAGATGAAGAATGGAAAGGAAGAGAATTCGGAATCATGTTGATGCCAATTTGTTAATCAAAGAGTGATTATTTTTCATGAACATGGGAAACACATATTCCATATAAGGTGGGCGAGAAAATTGGCATGATGTTTCAAACTTGGTCTCTCTCACAACCATGAGTTTAATTGCACTTGAACAGTTCTGGGAGTAACTAAAGACTGGTCCTTTCTCTTCATTTCCGTTAAAACTTGCCATGTTTTGTCGAATTTCCGACTTCTACCCAGAATATACAACAAAGTGTCATAAGAAAGAGCAGAATGGAAAAACTCCAGGACCGACAATGGGTTTGAGTGAGAGAATCTTGCCCTTTTTGAGTACTGTGTCAATCGATTCATTTGAGATAGAAATTTGAGATGATTTCAGGGACTATTTCATGTCCTCTGGAGTTGTTGATGTAGTGATTATTCGAAAGATTATATCTGCGTCGCCGTTTTGGGGAGATGAGGGGTGAGTATGGAGGAAACGAGAAACTGTGACATGTTAAAAACAGCTGCTTATAGTTCTCATCGTCGTAGTTGAAGAAGGAATTGAAGTGAGTTTGAGTGAGAAAATCATGTTTTTTCTTAGAGATTCTCAACTGGTGAAGAGGATTGATTGGTGCTGCAATTGCACATGAGACTAGGGCTAACTTATGCTTTAATTTTACCAAAATTTCACTTTTGTACCTATAACTATTATATATATGAATCATATTTAGTTTTTAATTACTAATAAAATTTGTAATTAAGTGCATAACTATATAATTTTTATCACGCTATTGAATTTTTTTAGTCAATTATTGTCAGAAGTGCTCTTTCCGAAAGGAGCACTTTCAATAATAGTTAGGCGAGAAATTGGACGATAGGACCAAATATTTTATCTCTAGAGTAGTTAAACAACACAAATATTTAGAGCATTCACACTTGAACCATTCCCTATATAAAGACAACATGGTAAAGCGTCCTACATGACGCGCGAATCAGGCGTGGAAAAAGGAATTGAATTTGACAGTAAAAACCTTCATTTAAAGGGATGAAAAATCAAGAAAAAATTGATCTCTACATCTCTACAAAAACAACCTTTGATTTTTTGTTCCTAAACAACTAAATAAAATTCATAAATATGAATGCTCTTAGTTGCTATATTCAAGAAGATGATCATTACTAATATCATGACTATGATTCAAGCCAGTGGTGGGGTAAACAATTAAAGCAATTTTAATATAAATTATGCTAATTATCTTTATGCATTTTCTTATATTTTGAAATTTATGCAAAATATATTTTCATTTGGATCTTATCACAATCATTTTCATAGATAGAAGAGTAAAAATAAGATACAATATCAACAAGTCGTTGTAGTATAGTGGTAAGTATTCCCGCCTGTCACGCGGGTGACCCGGGTTCGATCCCCGGCAACGGCGAAATAATTTTTTTGCCTAAACAGTGCACACCGCACTCCTTACTTCACGTACAAGTTTATGATGATTTTTTTTAAAAAAAAATATATCTTTTCCCTTTTATTTGCACATGGAAAGACTAGCATATGTACTCTAATAACCTTTTCCAAATTTCATTCTAACTTTTTTATTATCTTTTGAAAAATAAAGATTAAAAAAAAAAAGACAGCAAAATGTAAAATGTTAATTGATATAAAATGCTCCAAAGATTTTAGTCTTAAGTTTAATTGATATAAAATGCTGCCCAGCAAAAATGTAGTCCCAGTTGATGCTAACTCAAATGTTGAAAACAGCAATAAAATAAGCAAAATATGGTATTGAATGAGAGAACCAATTGCAGAGCTTGGATTACTGAGAATGGTATTGAACACCCTCCTTCTTTGATGTTGCACTGTTGTATTCCTTTTTCTTTGATGTTGCAATGGGAATGCGGGTAGATCGTCTAATCTCCTGAGGTTTAGCGGATCCTTTGTGTTTTATGTGCTTCCTGTCCCCAAGCTGAAGACCGTTCTGACTCGATGATTGCAGTAAACGAGCAGAAGTTTTCGTTAATAGACCTGTAAATGACCGGTTTAGGATTGTTAGAGTTGCAGCAAATATAACACTGTCTACTTACAATGAAGGCAGACCCCTTCTGTGTATCCGAGTGTTTGTACCTTCACTGGATTTGGTCTTGCGCCTAAAAGCCTGTAGCTGCTGCTGTCGCCTTCCTAGTTTTCCTTTCCTTTTCAGCTGTTGTTCCTCGGCTTCTCTACGTTCATTTTCATTTTGAGAATCATCTAGGTCTTGAGGCTGAGAATCAGATTCTGAATTGGTTGGTTCTTCAATGACATTTTTATGGGGCTTTCCCTGTTTTCTCTTCCCCTTCTCCTCATCTTTGTTACACTCTTCAATCTCAACATCTTGTTGTGCTTGTTCATTTGGTTCTTCGGGGTCAGTGTCTTTCAATCCATGAATTTCTATATTGGTTTGCTCTTCTAGATCAATGTTTTTCCTGTTTCTCTTAGGTACCCTGCTTGATCTTCTCTTCCCTTTCTGCGGTTCCTGCTCCCTGTTCAGCTGTTCTCGCCTACGTTTTTCACTCACAACATCTTGTCGCATTTTTTTGTTTGGTTCTTTTCGAGCACTATCTTCAAATCTCAGAAGCTGACCATCCATTTCTAGATTGTTTTCTTCTTCTTGAACAACTATTTTTATCCTCTTAGGTAGCCTTCTCCCTTTCTGCTGCCCTTGAACATCGACTTCTAAATTGATTTCTTCTTCTTCTTCTTCTTCCAAAACCATTTTCCGTCTCTTTCTCTTTAGTCCCTTACCCGGTCTTCTCTTCCCCGGCTCATGAACCTGCTTACGGTTCAATTGTCGTTCCTCATCTTCATAATATTCCCGAATCACAAAATCTTCTTCTTCTGTTGCTTCGTCGTCCGTGTTCGTCTGCACCTTTTCTCCTCTAACGTTACATTTACCAAACTTCCCCTCCTTTCTCCTTTTAGAATCCTTCTTCTGGATAGTTTTCGGGTTCACTCTCTTTCTGTCAGAGCCATGCTTAGAACTAATGCATTCACCGGGACTAGAAGTTGGGCAGATATTGGTGATTGGGGGGCGGCTAAGTGCATAGTAACCAACAACCGTCTCAAAAATTTCATTACGCTGACAGAGTTTCCCAAGATGACGTGAAACTAAAGTTGTATAACCCCATGGCGAGTTTCTCACAATATACTTTGCTATTGCCACCTCAGTAGAACCTCCTTCCTCATTCAAGTTTTCAATTGCTTTTAGAATCATCTGCATTAAGCCACAAACACAAAACGGTTGCTGAAATACGAAATCAGACATTCTAGGATAATACACATTTACAAGAACCATATTTGTTAACAATGTTGGAATGCATAAACATGAAATAATGGCGTAGTGTACATAAACATACTAATGTTCATAAAGATCGTTGCTACTTGAAAAACTAGGTTCTCAAAAAAAAAAAAAAAAAAAAAAACTAGAAATCTGAGCGGTGCACAATCTCAGCATTATCTATAAATTATAACATGGGAATGAAATACCGGGAAAAGAATCAATCACTTTTTCATTGGCAACTCCTAAACATAGCCTTGAGGTTTAGGAGGAGGGTAAACAAGTGACAGAAAGAAACAAAGACAAAACACAAAGAAAAATCAAGAACACTGTGTCCCAGTTCAAAGTTTTTTTCTCACACAAACCATCAAATGCAAGGAAGGGAAGAAATATGAAATTCCATATAAGAGTAATAGGCATGTGATATATATATATATATATATATATATATATATATATATATAAAGAAAAAGTATTTTGAAAGTTTTTTCTCATTCTCGTAACTGTTTGGCTATTTATGGAAAATATTGTTTTATCTTAACTATTTGTTTCTACTCTCTTATGCTGTAGCCACATGTGGTGCATACCAATGGGGTATGAATGCATCCTTCAAGGGTCAATGACTGAAATGGGCAACTTTCAATAGGCAATGACAAAAATAGGAAACTTTTTAAAAATGTATAATATTAGGAAAAACTCATTTGGGACATGCGTCGCAAATGAGTTTCTTAAAAATGTTTTTTTTTTTTCGCTAAAATACAAAAACGCATGTGGGACATGCGTTTCTTGTATTTTAGCGAAAAAAAATAAATTCATTTTGAATTTTTAAGAAACTCATTTGTGACTTGTGTTTCTGACAAGAAACGCATGTCCCAAATGAGTTTTTCCCTATATTGTACAATTTTGAGAAGTGTCCTATTTTGGTCTCTTCTTCTCTATTTTGGATCATTTCTGTCAAAACCCCATCCTTCAAGACCATGGCACTACATTATTAGGCTCAATTATTAAGCATTTGACAATCTAATGCTAGGCAAAAACTCATTTTTCTTTTCCATGAATATGAGGACTTCAATTCCATGTAATGGCTCATGATGAAAACGCCAACAACAATGATAATAACAATCTCTTTTGTTCTAACAATAATGCAACCTCAATTCACATTAACATATTAACAACCAGACTCATAAACAACCCTATGAATAATTGTAAAGGTAATGCAAAATCCTAGTCCAGCAAAGTATTATTCTCATAGAAAAGTTTGGGAAAATAAAAGAAAACTGCAAACAAGGAATCTAGTTCAAGATATGATAGACTACTACTTTATAGTATTTTCTTTACTCGTGAATTTTCTTACTGCAACCCTTCATTTCACATTACTGAGTATGAAGCAGGTACAGGTTGAGATGGGTAAAATACTAAAATGCAGCTTCACTTCACATAATATTGAGGGCAAAATGCAACTTTGGCCCTTCAATTACTAGTTTTTAGTTGTTTAGTCCTTGACTACCATGGGTGAGCAAATGTCACCACAATTATTCCAATATTCTAAATAGTTGTGATTTTGGCCTTTCTGCTAGGAAACTACGATAGCATTGAATAAGTATGTTCATCGCATGCTCAAATGTTTTCTCAAACCTACCAGAGTTTCTTCAAACCATTAGCAAAAGTGCCAAAATCACAAATGAAAAGCCAAATCACTCTTTTCCCTATTAATAATAAGAACAATCTCATTTATTCTTGAACTTTCTAACAATGAAGCATCAATTCACCTGTTCATGTTCCCTGTTCAGCTGTTGTTCCTCAGGTTCTTTGCATTCTTTGCTCGTAAAGCCTTGTTGCATTTGTTTGTTTTCATTTTGAGCATCATCCAGCTCCTGATGTTGAAAACCAGACTCTGAATTGATCAGTGCTTCAACAACATTTTTATGTGGCTTTCCTTCTTTTCTCTTCCTCTTCTCCAGTGCCTGTTCAGTGTTCAGCTGCTGCTCCTCATCTTTGTTATACTCTTCACTCGCAAGATCTTGTTGTATTTGTTCATTTGGTTCTTCAGGATCAGTGTCTTCCAATCTCTGAGTCAGAACATGAATTTCCTTATTGGTTTGCTCTTCTAAACCATTACTTGTCCTGTTTCTCTTAGCTACCCTGCTTGATCTTCTTGTCCCTTTCTCCAGCTCCTGCTCCCTGTTCAGCTGTTCTCCCCTACATTTTTCACTCACAAAATCTCGTCGCATTTGTTTGCTTGCTTCTTTTCGAGCACCATCTTCAAATCTCAGAGGCTGACCATCAATTTCTAAATTGTTTTCTTCTTCTTGAACTTTTTTTATCCTCATCTTAGGTAGTATCATCCCCAGTCTTCCCCCTTTCTGCTGCCCCTGCTCGCTGTTCAGCTGTTGTTCCTCATTACATTCTTCACTCATCATATCTTGTTTCACTAGTTTCTTTGGTTCCTTTCGAGCACTACCATCCAGTCCCTGAAGCTGAACATTAATTTCTTCTTCTTCTTCAACAACCATTTTCGCCGTCTTTCTCTTTAGTGCCTTGCCTCCTCTTCTCTTCCCTGACTCATGAACCTGCTCACTGCTCAGTTGTTGTTCCTCATCTTCATAGCATTCCTGACTCACAAAATCTTGTTTTGCTTGTTCTTTTGGTTCTACGTGAGCATTACCATCCCGAACCACCTGAGGCTGAATGTCGAGTTTTAAATTGGCTGGCTCTTCTTGACCCTCTTCAATGACATCAATTTTCTCATCTGTTGCTTCCTTTTCCACATCCGTCTGTACCTTTTCTCCGCTAACATTACATTCACCAAACTTCCCCTTTCTTTTTTCAGAATCCTTCTTCTGCATATCTTTCGGGTTCACTCTCTTTTTGTCAGAGCTATGCTCAGAACTAATGCATTCATTAGGACTAGAAGCGGGGCAGATATTGGCGATTGGGTTGGTAAGTGCATAGCAACCCTCAACAGTCTGAAAAATTTCATTACTCTCACGGAGTTTCCTCAGATGATGTGAAAGTAAGGTCGTATGAGCCCATGGCAAGCTTGAATTCTCTTTCACGATATATTCTGATATTGCCTCCTCACTAGAACCTCCTTCCTCATTCAAGCTCTCAATTGCTCTTTGAATCATCTGCAATAAACCACAAAACGCTTGCCGAAATATGAAACCAGACATTCTACTAGGATTATGCACATTTTCGAGAGCCATATCTGTTCACAATGTTGGAATGAATAACACAAAAGAACGGGATTAAAGGGAAAAAAAAAATAAAAAAAATCAATCACTTTTTAATTCGCAACTCCAGAAACACAACTTTGAGGGGTTTAGGAAAAGCTCCAAACCATTAGCAAAAGCTCCAAAATTGCAATAATTTTCTCCAATTGAGAGTTACATTTGCTCACTCATAATAGCCAAGTCTAAAACAACTAAACGATAACGATTAAAGAGGCAAAATCGCAGTTTTCCCTATTAATAATAACAACAATCTCGTTCGTTCTCGAACTTTCTAACAATGCAGCATCACTTCACATACAAACTAAACCTAACTTTTAACCAAATACACTCCCATGCATTAATTATGAATAATCCATAGTTGATTATCTCTGAACCACACCACTTCCCCTGCTTTTACTCACCAAAATCTATCAAGTATTCATGTTCCCCTTTTTATACCATGATTTCACCAAATCACAGAAAATTCTATGAAAAACGATCATTATAACCTCGAATGCAAATCCATTCACACGATAAAACAGTGCCTAAAGTGATGATCACACGATATAAATATTCTTATACCCGCATTTCGAACATGCTGTGCCTATACTCCTCAAAAAGAGAAAATTCAATCGAATTGAAACGTTTATATCAGTAAATCAAAACAGAATTATAGTTACCCAGGAATAAGGGGGATGATCAGGAGTAGGTTTGGAGTCGGGGAAGAATTCTAGTAGCTTTTGATGAACGAAAGCCCTTTGGGCAGGAGAGAGTGATCCGTTGGGTGCACAGTCCATAGCCATTGTCATAACCAAAGCTCTGAAGTTCCCCATCGGCGTTTCTAGATGATCGGGATTTTCCGGCGCCGGCGCGGCGCCCGAGGGCGGCTGATTCTGGTGGGGTTTAGAACGCATGTCTGTGGGGTTTTTCGTTGGAAAAGGACCAAAGGTTGTCCCCATCTATTATTTTATTCGTTTGACCGGTGGGATCTATTATTTTATGTGGTCCCGATATTATCTCACGAATCTTTATATGTGAGAAGACGAGTTTGTTACTTTACTAATCTTTTCTATGCGCAATGCGTAAAAATATATGTCCAAAATCTATATTTTAAAAAATAACTTACAAATGTTTACTAATTAAAATTTAAATGAAATAAAATTTATTTATTATATACTCCGTATTAATATAATATATATAATGTCTACAAATATTGTTATCATTAAATATATGGTGGATGACTGGATGCATGTGCATGGTAAAAGATAACGGAAGTTATAAGGGTAAGAGTATTTTTATCCAAAAAAAAAAAAAATTAGGTCCTTAAACTAACCAATTCATTCAATTAATCTAATTTACCAATTTTGCAGGTTAGTAACAGGTCACCCAAAATTTAAGGAAGAAAGATTTGGTAGGACAGATAGAATGGAACAGGTTAGTATTTCCTAAATATATTTTAAGAATAATTACAAAAAAAATTATAGAAACTATTTTACTTTGAAAAGACATTTTTATAAGCTTCCTAACATTCTTATAACCATTCCTAAAAATACTTGTTCATATTTTAGTTAAGATATGCATATATACTAGATTTGAACATTGCTGATTTCTCCTCCCAAGCAACATTTCATTTACACAATAGCTTAGGAAAATCTTGCACATCATAGAACTCCATTTCTAGGTTATAAAAGCAGCAGAATTCTTGGTACAAATAAAGGTACATACTATCCTTGAAGAGAGAAAGTTTAAGACATCATTAACATGCTTCCTAAGAATAATCTATGTTGTCTTCCTCAGGTTCGACTGCGTGATACCCGCTTTCTTGATTGTCCCGACGAAAGACGAGTTGATCGTCTAGGCATGCGGGATATTTCACCTACTTGACTTTTTACGCGCTTCTTTCTCTGCTGTGGAGCTTGCTCGTCGAGTAATGGAGAAATGCAACCGGCAGTAGTAGTTGCCGTTCTTCTAGTGACTCTTCTTGGTGGAGTTATTGCTTGCAGTGACAACACGACTTGGGGAATTCGATGCTCTTGAGTACCTGGCATGAACAATCACCAATAGTTATAGTTGTGTATCGAAGAACGAGAGGTTTTGTCGGGCTGAGGCCAGTGAAGGGTTAGGTCCAGCAATTGGTGGCTAGGCCAGTGAAGGGCCAAGTCCAGCACCCTGTCTCTCGAAAATGTGGCGGAATAATAAGAAAATAAAGTTGCGCCTTCATTGCCAATGACCTTGTGGTCTTGTGGCACGAAGTGGCTTTTCCATTTGGGAGGTCATGGGTTCAAGACTCAGTAGGGCGGTGTTGACTCTTTGTGCTTCAATAGGTCGAGAAAGTAACTACGAACAGATACTATATTGTAATAGAGTCAGTTCTTTGTGCTTCAATAGATCGAGAAAGTATGCTTCAATAGAACAGATACTATATTGTAACTTCAATAGATCGAGAACACAAGTGGTATCTGAGCCAAGTCATGGGTTCGAGTCGAGAAATTTGTAGCTTTACCTGGTTCAGCCTTGATAACCCGAGACCGTAACTGCTTTTGGCTTACTTGCTCCTGCTTTGTTGTATCCTCTGAATCCTGTAGTTCTTGTTGTTCCTCCTCCTCAGAAGATACTTCATTGTTCTGTTGGAATGGAGAACTTATTTCTTCAACTTCATCGCTAGAGCACTCTATATAAGGATCATCTACCATACCCATTTTTGCTTTCTCATTGCTCTGATCTTCACAGGCAACTGTTTCTTGTTCTTGTTGATCATTCAGTTTTATGTCAATGGTCTCTTCATGTTCATTTGTGGTTTCAAGAACATTAATTTCTTCTGTATTCTGATCAAGAAATGATGAATTTTTTGGGGAATGAATAATTTCTTTTCCTTTCCATTCCTGACATCCATGCTCTTCTAGACCTTCATCTACCATTTCCTGAAACTTAGTATCATTCACTAAATTCGTGTTTTCTAGTTCATCATTAGTTTCTGTTAGTTGTAACGGATTCTCTTCATCGACGTCAGATATTTCTGGTAATAATAGATCCTGAACATCTTTCTCACACGCCCAATCCATTTTCTTCTCTTCCATATCCTCTTGCTTGTCCTCTTTTAACGTTTCCAGTGATTGATGCGATTCTTCCATCACTTCCTGCTCTTTCTGTGCTGGATTGCCAGTTATTTGCTCTTCTTCCTCGATAACCACAGTTCCCTCTTGCAGTTCCATTTCTGCATTCATCTCCAGTTGATTGCCATTATGCTCCAGTCCTAATGGGTTTCGACCATTCATCGTTTCCTGTTCTTTTTCTTCGTTTTGTGCTTCGATGTCATCAGTTCTTGCTTCGACAACCAGATTTTGTGCATCTCCTTCGTTCGTTGGGATTGGTAGATTCAATTCTTCCTCGACTGTCACCTTCTGCTCGTTCAATCGATCCTCAGCTTTAATGGCATCTATCGCCTCTTGGAGTGCAATCTCCATCTCTTCATCCGAGGAAATTTCTTCTTCCCACTCGCCTTTCTTAGCTGGCCCGCCATCTTCGTTTATGTCTTCTGATCGATGCAATTCTTCCTCGACTATCACCTTCTGCCAGTTCAATCGATTCTCGGGTTTAATGGCATCCATCCCCTCTTCTTCCAACACGATATCATGCAGCTCAACCTCCATCTCTTCATCCGAGGAAATTTCTTCTTTCCACTTACCTTTCTTAAACGGCCTACGCTTAACCTTCCTCTTTCGTTTCAAATGGATACTTTTCCCTTTCTTTCTCTTGTTTCGAACTTTCTTCGATTTCCTCCTTCTCCTCGAGGAACCCCCGTAGAGAGAATCCGAGCTGGAATCAGAGGCGAGGCTAATGCTAAGACTACAGCTCGGGCTAGCAGTAGAATCAAAGAACTTGCTAGGCTTCGAAGGGCTAGGGGCTCGGGGAACACTGGGAAATCGATCATTTAGCACGTATAATCCATCTCGAGTCTGAACAATTTCGCGCTTCTCACAGAGTTTTACCAAATGGTGCTTGAGTAGAGTCGAGTGAGCCCATGGCAAGTCGTTATTATCGTTCATGATGCACTCCGATATCGCCTCCTCACTACTACCCCCTTCCTCTTTCAACTGTTTAATCGCGGTAGTAATCATCTGCATATTCAACCACACTGACAATCAAACTCATAAACAACACTATGATTAACCGGAAACCATAAGTACAACATAGTACTTCACGAATTTAACCTCGACCCCGACTCTTCAACTACAATGGCAAGCAAACATTACTTGCATACAATGTTGGGGTTTGTCAAGTAACCAAATCATGAAACCTGGCCAAACACAAATGAGAACCACTTCTCTCGAACTGCACAATCAGGCATTACAAGATACACAATCGTAATTACAAAAATGCGGGTTTCCAAGATGCACAATCACTTATCCAGGAATGCACAATCCGACATTACAAGATGTACAATAGGTATAAAAGATTCATGTTTTTCAAGAATTTGTGTGAGGAAACATCTAAAAAAAACCCAAATTTCATCAATCCCTATTCCAATTGCATCTAACAAGCAATAACTAAGCAAAGAAAAATTACAAGCAAAACAAGAAATCAAGAATTTCATCTCAACTAATCCACATTTGCAGGAAAAAGAAAACAACCCATTTTGAGATAAAACACAAATAGCAGAAGAATGAAGAGCTAATAGAGCCAAACCCAGGCGTAAGGAGGATGATCAGGAGCTCTGAGATAAGGGAAGCACTGGCGAAGCTTGTCTTCCAAGATCAAAGTCTGGGCAGGGGTAAGAGACTTGCTGGGAGAAGATTCAACGGCCATTTTCATCATCAGAGCTCTGAAGTTCAACATTGCAGAGTCATTGTAGGTGTGGGGTTTGGGAGGTGCTTTTTCAGGTGGGTTTTCCGGCGGCGGCTCCGCCGGTGGAAGTGAAAGAATGGGGTTGTCCATCTTCTTGAGGAATGGAATTGAAAGTGAGAGTTTCGCAATTTTGACACCTGATAAAGCTTTGGTAATAAAGATCAAGAAATGAGTCAAACGAACAAGACAAAAGACAAATAAATATAGGAAAATCCAACATCGGTGGTTGTTGCGGAATTATAAATATAGTAGGGAAGTGTTTTAAATTTAGTATTAGTATATAAAATTTATATATTTAGAAATTACAATTAAAAGTATTATTCAACACAAAAATTAAGTTAATGATTATATGTGATGTCCACTTGACATATTCATGGCTGAAGTTTTGGCATGTCGAGAGGCCCTTTCATTGCTAATAGACCAAGAGATCGTCAAGGTACGATTTTGAGTTGGACTGTAGAGGCATGATTAATAGTTTGGTGAAAAGTTGTGTGTTCGGTCATATGTGGGTCACATTTTTAATTCGTATTTTAGCTTAATGTCGTATTTATAATTCATTTTTTGTCATGTTAGGAGATCAGTGAATTTGGTTGAACATGGCTTAGCAAGGGCAACAAGCTCTCAATTTTCTGGCTCCCGTTCTTGGGATAATAACTCTTTGGACTTTATTCGTTCTGTAATTATAGTTATATAATAAAATTTTACCAATTGTGACTTAAAAACACACACACAAAAATCAAAAATAGTAAACAAGACAGTGAGTAGTTTTTTTTTTTTTTTTTTTTTTTTTTTTTTTTTTTTGTGACAAGTGAAATCCACAATTACTACTCGAAGATTTGCACTAAATAAATTTGCATTATGACCCTAGCTTAGAATCACAATAAAGTAAGCTAGCTTAGATTGCTCATAAGGAATTAGCTGTGAGTCGAAATTGTAACTAGCTAAGAACAATTTAACTAAAATTGTCTGAATAATTTGTTTTAAATGAGTCTAATTAATTAAGAGATTTTTTAATTTATATAAATTTTAATTTTAATAAATTTATATTTTTCGCCATAACTTCCTTTTTAACTTAAACTTATTTTCCTGTATATATAAAATTAAAACATAAGAAATATAGGATTACAAAACTCTTAATGAGGTCTTTTAAATAACATTTATATAAAGATTGTTATAATTTTTTTAATTAACTTACAATTATACTATTCCTTTCAAAAAAAAAAAAAAAAAACTTACAATTATACTAAGTTACTATGTAATTATGAGTTTATTAATTAATGCAATTGTAGATTAGTTAAATACCCATATTAATTTTTAATTTTTTTTTACATTAATCTATACCAGGACTATGTGGTCCAATGGTACCCGGGTTGGACTTCCATTTGGAAGATTATGAGTTCGAGCCTCAGTGGAGGCGTTATTGGTTCTTTGTGTTTCAGTAGGTTGAGAAAGTATATGAACAGATACTACAGTGTAATAGAGCCAGTAACTTTCAAAAAAAAAAAAAATCTATATTCACATTAAATAATGAGATCGTAATTACAAATTACAATAGTTTTACGGAGTATTTTATTTTCTCTATCTCTCTCTTTCAACAAACAGATCCTGGCAAATTCTCGTGCCTTGAGTCAACGTCAAATGCCACTTCAATGGGACAGCTTCATCAGTGATGGAATTTGTTTTTTTTTTTTTTTTGAAAATAATGATGGAATTTGTTTTTTTTTTTTTTTTTTTTGAAAATAATGATGGAATTTGTTTTGTGCTCTTACAATTACTCTTTTTTTTTTTTTTCTAAATTCAATAATAGTTCTAGTACTAGTATATATATTTTCAAATTTTATTTCTCACCTTTACTCTATGATTTAGCAAATAATAATAGGTTATTTTCATTATGTATGATAGGAAATTAAATATATCCCGGTATGCAACCTGTATTCAACTATTCACTAAGGACCTAGTCGGATCCAACTATGCACTTGGCAGGGACACTTTTCCAATTGTATCCGACATGGATAGAGCACTTGACTGACCTAACTTGATGGATAAGCATTTCATTGGCTTAGTGAGCTTACGACCTTAGCACTCGGCCCCGATCTGAGTGCTCGACTTGTGACCCCGAGCTCACGTACCTAGCCCTAAAGGGCATACATTAATAACTATGCCCAAACCGAGCCTAGCGGTTATTGGTTTATCAGATCTTCCTCGACATGTGGACGTCTCTCTATGGCTTTCGTAGCAGTCGAGCGCATGAAGGACACGTTTCATACATGCCGGTCTCTCGGCATGTGTCCCTTTTAGTCCTCTATAAATACCCCGTTAGATGCTAGACGGGGGGACTTTTGGTCTCTCTCTAGAACGTTTCTGTTCGGGACCCTTCGGCCTTCAGCCGCAGTGACCCAAGCTGCGGTTCTCACATGCACAATACTTAATAATATACGAATACATTATACATATACCCGGTGAAATTTACCACATCAATTAGATTTACTAGATCGACATCCCGAATTTGTCCACAATTTTAAGGTGTCAACTGTCATACGGCAGTACGTCACTAAATACAATCCAAAAATGAATGGATAAGACTTTGAGTTTGTGCCAATTCTCTTAGTATTCAATACAAGCTTAAAGCTTTCTTTGAAATGTTTTGAATAGTACCTAGTGAAAAAAATATATCGGTACCGATCAACACCATAAACTTTATCTATGAATAAGAATTTTTTTGAAAGTCTATGAATAAGAATAACACTTCAAATATTTAAATAATAATAAATATATTTCATTACAAAAAATTATATTATTACAATACTTCAAAAAAAATTTAAAAAAAAAATGAGACAAAAATACATTCACCAAATAATTAAAGATGGAAACTACCTCACCCAGATTATAATAACTAGAAGGCATTTTTGGATGAGATGATATCGTCTCACAAAATATTGAAAATTTCTTTAGAGAATATTATATTATTAGAACTCTGTTTTTTATCAGCTTTAGTATTTTTACTCCATCTCGGAATATTATTATAACTTTACTTTTAATAATTCGGCTTTAGCTAGAACTATCTTTTGTACCCCTATCAATACATCCATTCATGTATTTTGTAAATATGATATGATTAATCAATAATAAAACTCTTTATAGAAATTCTTGGTCTTACATATATATTTCAGCTTTTACACCTCTCACTCATTAATTGGATAGAGGAGAAAGAAATAACAAAAAAAGATTCATTCTTTTAGTTAATCCTAATAGTAAAAAAGTAAAATGAATATACATACAATAAAACTAGACCTGGCAATTCGTGTATACGGGTTCGTTAACGGGTCGACACGATAACGACACGAACACGATAAGGCTAAACACGGACACGACACGTTATGATTAACGGGTTCAAAATTTTAACACGAACACGAACACGATTTAGTAACGGGTTGACACGATAGACACGTTTTGTTAACAGGTTTCAAGTCGTGTCGACACGATATGACACGAAACCCGTTTAAACCCGCTATTTATATTAATATATTTAAAAAACTAAAATTTAAAGTTAAGTTATATAAAAAAAGAAATAAAACCTACAGTTCAACTCATCAAACAAATTAAAAACATTCAATTCGTAACATTCATAAAATGATAAAATAGCATCCAAAAATCATAATTAAAGGAGTCCATACAAGTTTTTAGAATAAAAAGAAAACAATAAAAATTCAAATTTCAAATTTCAAATTGTTGAACATCAATAATTGGTGTAAGATCTTGGCCTGATGTAGTAAATTCATCATTAGTCATGTTCATAATATCTTTTGTAATCTCATTCATGACAATGGTTCTTACCTAAATGACAATGGTTCTTAGCGGGTTGTAAACAGGTTTGGTAAACGGGTTCGTGTTAACGGGTAACACGATAATATTAACGGGTTAAACGGGTTCTTAATAGGTTTAACGGGTTGGCCCGTTAAGACACGAAACATAACGGGTCCTTAACGGGTCAACCCGTTAACGACCCAGGACACCTTAAGACTAAACACTAACCCGTTATTTTCGTATCCGATTTCGTGTCGTGTTAACGGGTCGTGTCCATAATTGCCAGGTCTAAATAAAACCCACACTTTTAACATTAAGGTAAACCTTTGATGCTTGTTGTATGCTCTTATTGTTGTTTGGGATGTGAAGCACATCAATAAAGAATATGATTCCCATTTCCACCATGGGAAGTACAATATAATGGACTACTTCTTTTGTTAGAAGATAAGGTTTAGCTTACAAGGTAAGTTATTTTCGTTATAATATTGTTAATAATATTGTGATTATAATAATTTAGTATTTCAACCGTTTTAATTTGTAATAAACTGAATCTGAAAATGTAATACTTATTAACTCAGAAAAAAATATTTCATATTTGTTAAAAAAGATTATTATTTATGTCATGTAAAATTGTGTAACACAACACTAACTATTCTAGAAAATGTTTGCTCTAAGTGGAAATTTTATTTCTTTTCATAAAAGGAAATAGATGTTCTTTTTTTCCCAATTTGGAATAAGAAAATGTTCTACTAGATCTCAATTTGTCTGCCAACATATATACAAATTGCTATCCTATACTATGCCATGGAACACAAGTGGCACAGCACCAAAGTGAAATTCTTGTTACACATTATTCACACACACTAAATAAAAAAAAAATTATATATCAATAATTATTCTTGTCAAAATTATACCTTATGTCGAAACCATTATTATTGAAATCTCACTTTACTCTTCGAATCTCTAGTTTCACGTTCAAAGAGCATTTGTCATTTCATTAGAGTCCACCATTAGTAAAATAATATTATTTTTAAATGCAGTACAACTTATTAACCATTATTGCTACTAGAATTATACCTTCTGTCGAAGCCAAGGCTATCCATGTTCTCATAATACTTTTACTTTTGAAAATGAGCTTCATTGCATATCATCATATTTGTAATGCACTCACTATTCAATTTATTCTCTATAATTTCGACTAAAAGGCTGGCTGACTGCCACTTAGTCGCCACCCAAATGCACCTAGTTGGTACACGCACTGCACCCATTTGTTGGTGCGCGCAACACACACCAACTCTTTTTTCTTTTAATAACTTTTTCAAAATGTCAGAAAAACTCAAAACAACGCTATCTCAATTTCTTCTCTCCTCTCTCTCTCTTTAATAAATTTAAAGTTACAATGCTACATGTGAATGCAATTCCATCCTTTTTGAGGGATAAAACCCATTATATTACTAATAAAATCTCGCTACTCTTAGAGCAACCACATTAGTATAGTTTTTTCACAAATTTTTACCAATTTTTGTTTTTTTGTTTTTAAGAAAAATATGTCGCTAGACGTGCACAGCATGGCACATGCAATGTTGGGTGTGCGGGTTGCGCAAAAACGCGTCATCCGTGTTTATCCACAAAGAACCAACACTTGCAAGAAAAGAAAACCTTACAAAAATGCATCTTTCCATTTGTTCAAAAATACGCTCTTTGATGTTTTTTTTTTTTTGTCTCTTCCAAAAATCCCTAATAAGATTGCTCTTAGAATCTCTACCTCACCTTTAAAAAGTGTTGTCACTTCAATAGGTCTAACAAAAATACTCCCCCTAATTTTTTGTTGTGAAAAAAGGGTACAAACTATCAACCATTATTGCAGCTGGAATTATACCTTATGCTAAAACCATTAAGGCTAATAAACTCACTTTTTTTGCACATATATAAATCTTCAGTGCTTCCCAATTGGCATATCAAGAGCATATATAGAATTTCATTCGTTTAGCAGGATTGAGAAATCTATCATGGCTCAAATATGGAAGCTTGAGTTTGAAACACAGATCAAATCACCTTCAAAAAAGTTCTTTGATATTTACTTGAATAATTCAAGCCTTTTGCCAAAGATATGCCCTGCCAAGATTCGCAGTGTTCAACTACTTGAAGGAGATGGAAAGAGTGTTGGTTCTGTCAGACTTTGGACATACATCTTAGGTCAGTTTCATTTTATTCACATTATTTGATTTGATTTATGTATGTAAATTTTATGATTATGTCTTTGTTGGGTTTTTTTTTTTTTTTTTTTTTTTTTTTAAACCTTTGTCGGTTCTTGATTTTTTACAATTTTTGAAGTGTCATTTAGGATGGAGAGGAGGGAGGAAAAAATATAAGAGAAAAAGAAAAAAAAAAAAACAAACTGTTTTTATATCCGCCTCACGCGCACCATGCAGATTTATTCTGTTTTTAGGTGGGGCCCACAATTGAGGTAAAAAAGCGATTCTCCTGCAACGCTCTCAAATTTTCTCTCTCCTTCTATATGATCATATGTCTATATATGATTTATATTATGTGCATGCTGGGTACAATATATGCTTATAAGTTGTATATAGTTCATTAATCGTTATATGTATGTATATAACTCATGAGGTATTGATCACTGATGAGATAGTGTGGATCTCTTCCAACTTAATTTTATTAGGGAACTATACTTATGGTTACTTATTCTACTTCTCTCATTTATCTGGAACAGTTTGTTTTTTGAGTATACTCTAACCTATACATAGTATCTGTTCATCAATAAATTACGTCCAACACTGATTAGGATGAGACTTGAACCTGAAACCTTCGTTATAGAAGAGTTTTACAACCTTGATTTGCAAAGTGTAGGGGGCAATGTGATTGCAAAGGACAAGATTGATGCTGTTGATGAGGAAAATAGGTCAGTTACCTTTGCTCTCATTGGTGGAGAGGTTACAAATTACTTCAAGTCTTTCAGAGCCACTCTGCAGGCCAGTGGGAACTCAGTGAAATGGACTCTGGAATATGAGAAGGCAAATGACAATGTGCCAACCCCACACTCCCATGTTGAGTTTCTGATGAATGTTGCTAGAGAAGTGGATGAATACCTCCTCAAAACATGATGAACACATTTGATCCGATCCACTTTACCCCTCCTTTTGCTTAAGATGATTTAGCTAAGTATGTTGTTGTTGTCGTTGTCGTTGTTGTGGTAACAATAAAAGTTATACTGGTGGTTTAGTAAATTCTCTTTCGAAAATGTTAAACAAGTCAATATAGTCGTGAGACTCAAGATCAAGAGTTTCGAATAAAGTCAACAAGTCTACTTATAGTGATTCGAATAAAGTACTGTAATCCATCCCTATAGATGGTATTTACTATTTAGGGTGTGTTTGGTTCGAACATGAGATTCGTAATCGGAATGAGATTTAAATAAAGTACTGTAATCCATCCCTATAGATGGTATTTAGAGTGTGTTTGGTTCGAACATGAGATTCATAATCGGAATGAGAATCAAATACTTGGTAATTGAAATGTACGTGTTTTGGCGAAAGTATTTTCCATGTTTGGTAATAACAATGCAGTGAGAAAGTCGATGAAGTGAGGAGGCGACAAAAATGAGGTGATAAAATAAGGAATAAAGTTGAATTAATGGAATGATACCAGATTTAAATTAGGTAATAGGTTTTGTAATTATAAGGATAATCAAATCATATACCGATATTTTAAACAATTGTCAACTAAACAATTCTTAATTCTTATTTAAGACTATAGATTTGTCTATTAGTTTATCATAATATTGTGTATATTCATCAAGAAAATATTTGTTATAAACCAAAAGAACTTTTCTTGATTGCCTAATAGTACAAAATCACAAAAAGAGTGGCAGTCTACATATACAAAGATATATATACTATTGTTGTTTGTAATCAACAAGGAATCATCAGACTTGTCATTCAAACATCCTTAAAAGCTGCAGACCTTTTCTTGAATGCTCCCTGTTGTTTCATCTTCATAAGAGTAGCTTTCATTTGATCAAGAGAAGCTAGCACATGCTGTATATAATCTCCCCGCTTTTCCCCAGCGCCCATTGATCTGCTTGAATCGAGAGGCTCGGGGGTGCTTCCAACGATCTGATTAACGGGTTCTTGATTCTGTGTGTCCTTTGAGATCTCGGGTTCCATTTTGTCAGCACTGCAGATTGGTTTGGCATTTGAAGACCCATCGATTTCTTCCAATTCATAGTTTTTTTCGGTGTTCGTGGTGATAAGATCATCGTCAGAGTCTATCGCCTCGAGTTCTTCTGGGTCGGATTCACTATCCTCCTTATCCACCTTCGCAAAGTTACTGGAATTGGAATAAAAAGGCTCGGGATCATCATCATCAGAGTCTATTGCCTCGAGTTCTTCTGGGTCGGATTCACTATCCTCCCTATCCACCTTTGCAAAGTTACTGGAATTGGAATAAAAAGGCTCGGGATCATCATCATCAGAGTCTATCGTCTCGAGTTCTTTTGGCTCAGATTTCCTCTGCTCATACGCCTGCATTAACTGTCGGCAACAGGCAAAGAAGCCCTCGGGGTCATCATCATCAGAGTCTATAGCCTCGGGTTCTTCTGGTTTGGATTCACTATCCTCCTTATCCACCTTCTCAAAATGACTGGAATTGGAATAAAAAGGCTCGGGATCATCATCATCAGAGTCTATTGCCTCGGGTTCTTCTGGTTTAGATTCACTATCCTCCTTATCCACCTTCTCGAAATGACTTGAATTGGCACGAAAAGGCTCGGGATCATCATCATCAGAGTCTATCACCACGAGTTCTTCCGGGTCAGATTCACTATCCTCCTTATCCACCTTCTCAAAATGACTAGAATTGGCACGAAAAGGCTCGGGATCATCATCATCATCAGAGTCTATCGTCTCGGGTTCTTCTCGTTTAGATTTCCTCTGCTCATACGCCTGCATTAACTGTCTGCAACAGGCAAAGAAACCCTCGGGTCATCATCATCAGAGTCTATCGCCTCGGGTTCTTCTGGTTTGGATTCACTATCCTCCTTATCCACCTTCACAAAACGACTCGAATTGGCACGAAAAGGCTCGGGATCATCATCATCAGAGTCTATCACCACGAGTTCTTCTGGGTCAGACTCACTATCCTCCCTATCCACCTTCACAAAACTACTCGAATTGGCAGAAAAAGCCTTAGGATCATCATCAGAGTCCATTGCCTCGAGTTCTTCGGGGTCAGACTCACTATCCTCCCTATCCACCTTCACAAAACAACTCGAATTGGCAGAAAAAGCCTCGGGGAAATCCCGTCTTGCATATACCTTTCTAGCAACTTGAATTTTTTCTGGTAGTTCATGAACAGGCTCAGATTCCATAGCTTCCAATTCTTCTGGTTCAGACACAAACTGAACACGCCGCTTTGAAAAATCACGCCTTGCAGATACCTTTCGTCTTTTGAGCTTCGTCTCAGAACAATCAAAGGAAAAATCACTGTTTTTCCGTGCCCGTTTAACTCTATAGTCACTTCTCGAGATCGCCATTGTTGAATCCTCAAAACCCTAGTCGGATTAGGTCAAACAGTAGCACCTCTGACAAACAAAAGGGATCGAGAATCAAGAATCAAGATTCAAGCTTTTTAATGCCAGTTCAAGAAACCCGAACAGAACAACAACAGGGGTTCAAGAAAAACAAGAAAAGAAACGCATGGGGGTAAAAGCTACCCAGAATTGATGCTTGATCAGTTGATCCTAAGAACAAAGAAAACAATCTGGGAAATGCTAAGAATAATACTCCGTAATAAGTAAAGAAGCTTACCTATTCTGGAAAGGAAATTTGACACTTTCTTGACCCGCAAGAAAATGCCTACGAAAGAACTGAAGCATTACAATACACTATTCGACGAAACCTTATAAAGGATGGATTCGATGTAACATGAATCGGAATAGGATTAGGGGAAAATCCTTATTCTAGAAGGAATCAAGGAAAGTTTATAATTTTTAGCTTTTTTTATATTTTTAATTAATTATTTAATCGTTTTAATGTACTCCGTACTTTATTTTATTTTATCTAAATGCATGATTATTTTGTATTGTAATTTAACCAAGAAATTTGTGTAAAAATATTTGCATTGAAAATTTTGCAAGTGATTAATGGTCAAATATGGTGATTTATCTTAATGTTAAGGTACATTTATCTATATTATATATAGGTGTTTGTATATTTATATATCTAGATAAATTATCAATGTAAAAATATTATTTAACATGTATAGTGTTATTGTCAACCGGATAATAACCAAAGTGGTTTCTATGTCATGACTTAATTGAAAATTTTAATTGAGCATGTGACATCCATTGATGATAAAGAATCTATTCATGCAGTGGTAAAATTTTTATTATATTTTTTTATTATTTTAATTTATTTTATAAAATTAATCATATTGTTGTTATGCTAAGTAACAGGAAAGATTTTATATATTTACTATTCATTTATTTTTGACAAGTAGTTCCAACAAGTTGTTTATGACAAAATAGATATTGATGTAGTGCGCTTTGAATGAGCAGATTGCATAGTCAAGTTATATAGAGTAGAAATAATGCATTTGATCAGAATTTTGTCAACGATATTTAGACTTGGTGATTGTACTAATTGTTGATTATATTTTGAAGTAGATAGTGAATTGTTGTGTATTTTGAAATGCTTATTTGTATTTTGAAGTAGATGATGATTGTACTGATGAATTGTTGCTTTTATATTTATGGTGTTTAGATAAATTGTTATTATATTATGCCTAAGATCAAAACAGGTTAAAAGACAATGGTTTAAAACTGTTGTCGTTATGAATAAAGACAAGAGTTTTCAACCGTTGTCTATCAACGTGAGACAAATTAAAATAAATGATTTTTTACCATTGCCTTTGATATATATATAATTATATATATATGGTAACGATTAAAAATTGTTGTTTATGCGCTTAACTTTCAACAATACTCAATCGATAACGATTTTTAACCGTTGTCTTTTGTAAGACAACAGTTAAAAAACGTTGTCTATGGACTTGACATTCAAAAATACTGGTTCCAACAACGGTTAAAAACTGGAGCGGCCCGACAGCCGGGGCCCCGGACTACTGTGACGCGTCCCGCGCGCTACCCCGCACTTCCTCGCTACCCCATCTTCGAAATGGTCCAGCGCGGGGGGTAGGGTGGTGTTGGGGCACGGGGGTGGTGTTGGTGTTGCGCTTAGGTTGTGGGACACGTGGAGGCCGGAGGAAGAGTGAGTCAACAGGCGTACACGTGGATGGAGATGCGGGTGGTTCTACTATAAATAAGGTATGCTGCCTCTTATTAGGACATTACTATCTTAGCAATACAGGCACCCTGATCTATACTCTCAACCCATCCACATGGGTTCGATTCTTGTCAATAACATAGTTAGCTATAACTCATCCTTTGGGCCTTAGTCTTTGAGTTTGTGCCTCCATTTTGAGCATGTGCCTCGGTCTTTGTACACATTATTTGGGCCTAGCGCCCCAAGCAATAATAATACTATTTTTTTACTCCCGTTTTGTACCTTCATAACCGGTTTATGGTGGACTCGATTCCAACAAAACCATCAGATATATAAGACAACAGTTAACAACTGTTGTATATGCGCTTGACTTTCAAGTTTCAACAACACTAGTTTCAACAAAATTCAATAAACAATAATTTTTAACCTGTCTTTGATATATAAGATAACGGTTAAAAACCGTTGTCTATGCATGTGACTTTCAACAACACTCAATAGACAATAATTTTTAACCGTTGTCTTTGCTATATAAGACAACAAACTTACAACACTGGTTTCAACGATAGATTTTTATCTAATAGACAACGATTTTAAACGTTGTATATGTTCATTTTTCTTGTATTGATATATTCAAATAGTAATTAGGCAGATGGCAAGCCGACCCGTTCATTTAACTAGGGGTGTTCATTCGGTTAACTGAACCGAATTAATTGAAGTTTTTTTTTTCTTTAACCGTTAACAGAACCGAAGTTTGCTCTACCGAATTAACCGTTAACCGAATTTTAGAAAAACCTTTAACCATTAATAGAACCAAAAAAGTTCGGTTAAAAAACGGTTAACCGAACTTTGTCGGTTCGATCGGTTAACCGAAAATTCTCTGAAATTTGCACACCCATACATTTAACTCCACTTAGTGAGAGAAATCCCGAGATGGAAAACATAATCCCAAATAAAAATTATGAAATACATTTTTGACAAATGTGTCATTTCCTTTTACTAAAATGAATATTTTTCGTTATATTTATTTGTCAATAATCACCCAATACTAAAAAATCTTTAATAAACTTGTAAGAGTTATTTTTCAGCATATGAATATGTTTTAAACCTATACGAATCAAACTTCAACTTCAAAATGTTTACCCATTTTAGAGTCTAGAGATTGAAGATGATGTTTATCTATGGAGAGTTTGAATTGTGTCAAAGTGGGCGATTTAGTTGGCAAATGGATGACATTATTCTTGCCGTGGCAATGTGGCATGAAATTTTTATCACAAAATTAGTCTTTTAGTTTATTCAGAAAATGTTATTCTTTTAGAGATTACGTATATATATTTGATATCTTGTAGAAAGTGACACCCACCGTGTGTGCGTTTGTTTGTGCGTCACCGTTACCAACTTTAATGATTTGGAATTTTGCGTAAATCAATGTCTTTTAATCTTTCTCTTTTCTTTTTACTTATTGTCATTAATATTTTTTTAATTCTTCTCTTTAAGATTAAATCTCTAATTTTAAGAGCCTTAAATCCTGATTCAACAACTGAGAAGATGTAAATCATGGTAACTCAGCTGAATATAGAGATTAAACTTTGTACACACTACCACTGGTGACAATCGATCCCGGGAAGGATATGCTCAATCCCGAGAAGGATGTAAATCATAGTAATTCGATCCCAGGGAGGATGATGCCCGATCCTGAGGCCTGAGGAGAATGATGCTTGATCCCGAGGAGAATGCAAATCATAGTAACTCAGCTGAACACAAAAATCCCGGGGAGAATGATGCTCGATCCCGAGGAAAATGTAAGGGAGAATAATGCTCGATCCCGAGGAAAATGTAAATCATAGTATACCACTGATGAAACTCGATCGCTGGTCATTTTTCATTCCTATGATGGTCCCTCCCCTGTGACCAACCGAAATGATTCCTTTATTATAGTAAAACTGAAATAGTCCCTAAACTATAATAAAATTATCAATTTGGTCCTTATTATTTTTCTTGATCAATTAAATTTCTCAACTTTATTTTGTTGTCGGAACCAAATTGATAATTTTATTAGTCACATGCACCATAATTACCATTCGGGACCAAATTGATAATTTTATTAGTCACATGCACCATAATTACCATTCGGAACCAAATTGATAATTTTATTAGTCACATGACCATAATTACCAATAATGGTAAACAAAGGAGGATCAAATTAATTAATATTTTTAAATTTAAAGGACTTAATTTTGATCAAGAAAAATAATACCAATGACTAAATTGATAATTTTACTATAGTCAATAAACTATTTCAGTAATTAACTCATTTTTTTTTTTAATTATTTTTACTTGGAGTGGTCCTCTCTTTGGACACTATTTTCCTAGAAATTGCAAATGTCTATTTTGTTGAATATTTAGCAAATATTAGTCCCCTTTATTCCACATGCCAAGTCAAATGAAAGCAAACAACCAAACATGAAGATTAAGGTCTAAAACTTTAAGCTTTTATTGAACAATAACAATAGAATGGTAACAACAATACATTGATACTAGTTCTGAATCATAAATCAGATCAAATCAAATTAAAGCTAATTGCAAAAACCTCAAAAACAACAAATCCAAGAGACAACCTAAGACAATCAGTAACTGCCTAACAGAATGTTTTATTGCACTTCACTCCAATGAGACATAATCTTGGGATTTTGAGTGAACCATCCCACCACCTCAATGAGACATAACCTTGGCATTCAGTGACTTGTTGAACAATGTCTTCCAGATGCTGCCCGACTTCCGAGCCGCCACCGCCTCGGCCGCCTGTTTCCCATCGCCGGAAGTTGCTTTCTCCTCCGCCGGCTTCTTGCACAGCACAAAGTTTCGAACCCCCAGTGATCCAATTGTGTCCCATGGACTAAGAGCTACAAATTTCACAACAATGTTATCAATAGATATGCATAAAACAAAATACAGAAACAGTGTTGTAAAAATCGACCCAGACAATTTTACCCTTCTGGGCCGACTAAGCGGCCTAGGCACCCGAGTCGCCCAAATCGGGGCCGTCCCAGAAAGGCATATAGTGAGGCTTATACATTCCTATTTTATATATTAAACTACTGGAAATTATGGAATTTTTGACCACCTTAAAGTGATCTTAAATCAAGTTGAAACCAAAAAGTGGTCGAAAATAGCAACAAAAGTTTTTCGGGATACTAAAAAGTGGTGGAACAAGGCTTTCGATCACTTTCAGGTGGTCGGAAATTTTGGTGGTCGGTATTGTTATACATCCCAAAAAGGGAATTAGGATTAAAATGAAGCCCCAACATATATGGAACATATCCTAGTTGAGAATTAGCAGTTTCTAATCATGAGTGACAACATAATTGGGTATAAACCTAGTACGAATCAAACCATTCGAACAACCTAGGAAACTCCGAAACCAAATAAAAAGTTTCGTAAAAGTACCTTCAGTTGCAGCGTTGGGGCAATAGAGTACGAAGTTGTTGAGATCCGATCCGAGAATCGGGAGCCTCCCCTCGCGAGCGTAGGATTTGAGGGCGGTATCGATCACCGCGGCGACGAGATCGTTCTCGCTCGCCACGAACCGGATCGGGCCGGCGCTTCCCAGCACGGTGATGCTCACCAGGAGCCGCTTTCCGGCCGCCGGATTCTTCTTCGCCTTGCAAACAAACATCATCTTCTTCGCTAATAATAATAATAATCAAACAAAACGCCTTTTTTTTTCCAAGAAAACAGGAGAATTGGGTAAAATCAAGAACGAAAAGAACACGAATTTGAGGAAATGAGGAATCAAATCAAATAAAACAAAAAACCGAAAACGAGGATTATTGGCCTAAGGGTCTACGCCGAGGCAGCGGTAGTACCAGGCTTGCTTGCAAGATCCAAAGGAGAAAGAAGAAGAAGAAGAAGAAAGAGAGATTCCCCTTCTTGGAGAAGACGACAAGAAGGAGATCATCAACAAATTACTCAGAAGTTCCACCATTCACGAACAATGCGAAGAATTGAGGGATGAAAAACGGGAGGATTGAGCGAAGGGTTCCTCAATGTTTCTGGGTATATAAAGAGAGAGAAGTGGTTCGAGAAAGTTTAGGAATCCTACGGAGAAAAAATGCTAGGGTTTGTCCAGAGACCATACGAGTGTTTAGAAATAGGAATATCCTTTTTCTTTAATGGCGGTGTGGGCTGGGTCAGATCTATTGCACAATTCATTCTTTCTCTCCTAATATACAAATATTATTATTTCATTTATATCATAATTCAGATTCTTTTGGTCCTATTTGGTAAATAATTGTTAACTAATAGTTGTTAGCTTTTAGCTGATTTGGTTAATTAAAGGGTATAATTAGTTGATAACATTAACTGATTGTAAAAATGTGTTTCGTAAATGAGTTATTTGGTATAATTTTTTTCTCAAAAAGCTAATTGTAGGGGAGTTGTAGGAGTGACCACGGTTTGGTTCGAATTGTGACCGTCACTGTAATAACCGGAACACCGGAACCAATATGGTTACGGTTAAGGTTCAAAAAATTCTAGAACCGGAACCGAAGGTTCCGGTTCCAAGCCGTGGAAAAAAAAAGGGTCAAGTGGCCACGGCTCAAGAATTGATGTTTGAATCTTTCAAAAAGGAATTATAAATTTGTTATAAATAAAATAATAATAATAATATAATAATAATGGTCAAGCACTTTGTGCTCAGATGACATGTAGTGATCTTTTTCCATATGGGAGGTCATGAGATCGAACCTCAGTGGAGGCGTTGTTAACTCTTTGTGTTTCAATATGTTGAGAAAGTATGTTCGAACACATACTACAATGTAATAGAGTTAGCAACATTGAAAACACATATTAAAATGTAATATAGTTAGCAACATTGAAAAATATATATATAGAGTCAGCAGCATGGATATTTAACTATTTGTATTGAACATCTACGCTAATTTAATGTTATTTGGTTGTGTTTCAAAAAAAAAAAAAAAAAAAAAAAAAAAAAAAAAAAAAAAAAAAGCAAGTTAGACAAATTGGTTTGTCACTTTAACATAACATCCAATATTGTATTACTTGAGGATACTTGTTTGATTCTCACATTCATGGCTTATCTCTTTTCTTTGAAACGAGTAAACTAATTGTATTGAACCTTAAGTTTAATATGTTCTGCATGTAAGTATTAACACAATTGTGTTTATAGTTTGGTGGGTAAGGTTCTTACTTTATAATAAGGTGTATGGTTTAAGGTTCAAACCTTATCTCAAACACCTACTTTGTTTATTTGTGCGCTAGCTTTTTGAATTTTAACATTTTAGAGTACAAAAAGCTAATTAATCAAACACTTATATTGATTTTTAAATAAGTCAAACAACTAATAGTGGTCAAATATGCTAAAATTGGGCCTATAGGCTAACTATTTGGTTTGAGCAACTTACGAGTCTAATAGCCTTTTTGGCTTAATTGTTTTCATTAGGTCTAGCGAGAGTCAATTAGCCCGAGTTGTGTTAAGATAAGTGGCACTTGAATTGGAAGTAGCCATGGCCTAGTCTTGGATGGGGATTTAGCACACTTGTATCAATAGACCAACTTTTGTTTAATGCCGAGGATAGATTTTTATATATAAAATCCTGATTTTTGAACTTTTGCTTCTGACAAAGTTTGAAATAGGGAAAGCTTTTCTTGCTAATGTGGTGATATCATAGTAAAAGTAAAGTAGCTAAGAGGAATCGTTTTAACCATCCATACCAGGTTCCATGTATATTTAAGAGTGACCATATGAACATAATATTACAAATTTAGTTAATATATTTTATGTATTATAAAATTATCATAACCAAGATATAATATTAAATGTTGTTACAATAATTGATTGTAAAATACTTATTATTATTATTATTATATATATATATATATATATATATATATATATATATATATTTTTGGTAAAAACTAAATTTCTGTCAAGTCGATGAGAACAATAATATTTGTATATAGTTTTATTATCGATTAATCGTATTTACAAAGTGCATGAATGAATATATTTATAGGGATGTAGGAATTAGTCCTATTTAGGGCAGGACCAATAAATCTAGAATTACACAATAATACACACAAAAAAAAAAAAAAAAAAGAAGAAGGAATTTTGATCTAAAGCTAATAAAATACAGCGTCCTAATAAAGTCAAGCTTGAGTAAAGCGAAGCTTGAGTTCAAAAAATGAGAAGTCGGTTGAGTTTGACTTTTGATTTTTCGAATCAAGTAATCGAACCTTACAAAACGCATCTTGACTTGATTACACCCGTATAGCAAAATACAAGTTAGAGTTAATTACCAAAATGGTCCCTTGACTATTGCGAAATTACCAATTTGGTCCTCAATTATTTTTTTTACTCAATAAAGTCCTCGACTTTGTAAATGTTAACCAATATGGTCCTCCGTTAGGTTTGGAGTCTAACTTCTGTTAAAGTTGAGGGTAATAAAGGAATTTCACCCCTGGGAACATTCCCTGGGAACATCAGCAAGTTGTTTAAGACGGCGTTCTGCGCCGCGTGTCTTGGGAAGATAATACTCATATTTGGGAATATAAGCAGTTTTGGAGGGGCAAAAGCGGTAGGAAATGTGAGGGAGTACAGTGAAAAGGGTTCGCCGGTGGCCGCCGCCGCCGTCGAGGACGACAACGATAAGACGTACGCCGGAAATGATGGAGGGAAGATGGAAGTCTAAAACTTTTTTTTTTAATTCTTTTTTTATAAATAAGAAATAGAGTAACTGTGCATTTACTCTAATAAGGCAAATATCAAATAATTAACATTTTTCTTTGAAATTCTTTTACTTCGAATCCGGCAGCAGAAACGTGACAGGGGGACGAGAGGGGAGGAGAGAGCGGTGAAATTCCTTTATTACCCTCGAATTTAACAGATGTTAGACCCTAAACCTAACGGAGGACCATATTAGTTAACATTTACAAAGTCGAGGATTTTATTGTGTAAAAAAAATAGTCGAGAATCAAATTGGTAATTTCGCAATAGTCAAAGGACCATTTTGGTAATTAACTCTACAAGTTATTTCTCATGAATGACAACTTTGTTACTATTATTTTGTTATAATAATATACATTCAAATACGGTGTTTTAACACTTAAATCCTCATTAAACACTACTTTAAAATTTCTGAATTTCATAGTAAAAGTTGTTGGCTAAAGTGCTAAATAATCAAAGATAGTAAATAGTGTCATTGTACAAAAACATATGTGCTTTGAAAAATCCATGAAAATTCAACATTGTGACATGCATGCTGCTTTGATTAGAAATAGTTGTTGGATAATACAAACCAAACAAATTACTAGTCAAGAAATTTTGCTGAGAAAACCCCTTATTTGTCAACCTAACTTTGAGAAAGACACTATTAGTTGGCTAGTTGCGGTGGTAGCCAAAGTATATTTGTCCATAGAGGTATTGTGGTCTCTATCCAAAAATTTAATAATAATAAATTGAAGTTATTTTGTAATCAACGTTAATATGGTATAATAATAAGATCAATTGTATTAGTTTTTAAACTGGTATGTAATTAATTATCACGTTTCTACATGTCAAAACTGGCCTAACCCGATAACAACTCTTAACCGAGTTAGTTGAACGATTAAATTCTCAAAAAAAAAAAAAAATACAACTTGATTGACGTGAGTGTCCGTACACTCTTGTCTCTTAAGAGAGATCAGTAGTTCGAACCCCTCTTGTATGAAAATTAATCTAGCTAGCACTTTGCCCCTTAATTGGGTTGGTCCTGTGCGAACGGAGATTAGTTTGATTATAGTACGGGTTTAAAAATGCCTCCTACAATAAATCAATCTGGCTAGCACTTTGCCCTTTAATTGGATCGGTCTTGTGCGAACGGAGATTAGTTTGAGTATAGTACAGGTTTAAAGATATCTCTTATAATTAAGACTTGCTCAGGACACGTCGTGATTTGACCCAAAAAAATCTCCAAAAAATAACAAATCTTTTTGCAAATTAAAGAGAGTAACCTATTCTACGAATTAAATAAACGTTTTTCTAATGATAGGATTATAGGAAATAATTAGGAAGAAGGTATGTGCATGGGGATAGTGACATGCCGCCGACACGGCTAATTATATGGTCAGGAGAGGTGCATCGTAGAGTTAATTAATGTGTGTATGGTGCAGGTAACAAAATTTAGTACAAATATATATAAACATTAAAAATGCCCAAATCATATAAGAATAAATTTGGTATAAGATCGTCTCACATAAGATATATAATGCTATATTTTTTTAAGATAAAATGTAATAAATTTCTATAGTCTCACATAAGATATGTTCATAATTTAATTAGCCCAAATTAATAAACCAAGTGGCTTGTAGTCCACTGGTATCGGGTTGCTCCCCTAAGTGGGAGGTGTAAGGTTCAAACTTCAATTGAGGTAATAGTGTGTATACGTAGGGTATCCCCCTTTCTTATAATAATTAAAAAAAAAAAAAAAACCAAGTTTACAAAGTAAAAAGATAAAAATTCTTATAATATCCAACTTAGAACTCCTTTTTTTTTATTTATTATTTTTTTTTATAATATTCACCACTTGATGTGATAACAAAATTTATTAAGTTGATAGTTTTGCTTTGCTAGCAACTGTAACATGTAGGCCGTCTTGATTCCTAAGGAATCTATGAAGGTGAAATAATTAGGAAGAGAATGTAACATTATTCTAAAAATCATTCGTTCTCTATTTTTTTACAATATAAATGAATTAATTGAGTTCAAAACTTTTTTTTTTTTTTTATCGATTCTTTTGTTAAGGTGAAGCAATCAAGCGAGTGGAAAAATCTTCTTTTTCTACACTTTTGGCAAGATGAATTAATTAATTGAGTAAAAAACTCTTTCTCTATTATTTTGGTAAGATGGATGAATCAATCAATATCCAGTAAAAGTTATTCTTTATATACCATTTTAACAAAGTGAATGAATTTAATCAAATGAAACTTTTTATTTCTCTATCTTTGTTGAGAAGGTGAATGAACCAATAGAGTTGTGGTGAATTGTTATGGACATGTTGGGTTGAATACTTGAATACATTAAACCCTAAGCAATTGAAACAAAGTTCTATTTTAAAAAAGTTAACTTATTAATAATGTATTTGTGACCAGGACTATGTGGTCCAATGGTATCCGGGTTGGACTTTCATTTGGAAGATTGTGAGTTCAAGCCTCAGTGGAGACGGCATTTAATTGACCCTTAAAGGTTGGGGTTCAACCTTTTGAAATAATGAATTAGCTTATTCAACATTCCAACCCCGCATTAAAAGAATATAAATTTAATCATTAATAAATACAAATGAAACCAATAACATATTGCCATGTAAGAGGATGGATATTAAGATGTGAGATTAATTTTTAGGATAAAGCTACATGAGTAAAATTCTTCACAACAAAATTTTATCGTCTATGATAATAATAAAACTCTTTTCATTCATTGGTTACCTTGAATTTACCAACCCCACCCCACATTAAAAAAGGAATATATTCATATTACCACATCGGTGTTGGATTTTAGTGAAATTTTTTCTTCTCTTTAACACAATCCTAAGTTTTGAGTTTATTCTCCTCCCTTCATATGTACTAGTACCAAAAAGAAAAATAAAAAGATAATTGTCTCGAAAAGGATGGTATGTTAGAAAAATTTCACAAAAAAAAAAATTAAATTAAAAATTCCAATTTCAATATCAATAGAAATTCAAGTCGTGTGATATTTACACTTTGCTTGAAATCAATTCATTTCCTTTCGAGAGTGCTAGGAGCTTTGATACATCAATTTCCTAATGTTATAAGATTGGAGGCTATGGATACTGAATTACTTAAAATGAAATAGTAAGTTTGATGCTACTTTCAAATAATAATAATAATAATAATAATAATAATAATAATAATAATAATAATAATAATAATAATAATAATAATAATAATAATAATAATAATAATAATAATAATAATAATGAAAATAATGAAAATTAAATGAAAATGAGAAATTTGATCTTTGAATTACATCCCAAGTAAAGTTTCAAACCTTAAGTTATTATCATGTTTATTTTTTGTATTATATAGATGTGTGTGAGAGAGAGAGAGATACAAATGGTTTCAATGAGTTTATTTGACACATTTTAAACCTTTATATTTGGGTCCTACCTTTGTTTACCATCAAGTTGGAGTTTGAAATTTGTCATATGAACTTACCGAAACACTGAAAAAATGTATGTCTCATATAAATATAAATAACAATTAAAAAATCAAAATTTCTTATTTGTTCCTATCATTTAAGCTTTTTATTTTTTTTTACCAGGACTATGTGGTCTAATGGTATCCGGGTTGGACTTCCATTTGAAAGGTTGTAAGTTCGAGCCTCAGTGGAGGCGTTATTGGCTCTTTGTGTTTCAGTAGGTTGAGAAAGTATATGAACAGATACTACAATGTAATAGAGCTAGTAGCATTCAAAAAAAAAAAAAAAGCTTTTTATTTTTGTTTTTTCCCATTCTAATTTGAATATATTAATGAAAAGGCCAACATGTGTGTGGACCCAAATAAAAAATAGAGGTATAATTCATGGATTAAATATGTGATTTTACATAACAACAACAAATTTGTTACCTATTTAATTAAAAGAAAATAAGTGGACCCAAACTGGTTTAATTTACATGTGTGTGGATTTTATGTATATTTTGAATTTGATGACAATGTAATATTAACATCTTTTCAATGTCATTTAGCATATTGCAATTACTAACTTTGTGCAAAATTTTATTTGATTTGTACAGAACATATAAGTGTAGTGATACAAATTTATACTCTTGTACATAAGCAGGTTTTGAGAAGACAGCCAAATAATGATGCCAGGTTGTTGTGTTTTAGGTGTGAAGATGGTAGAATAACTATTGTACCAATAAAAATTTATGACAAAATAAACATGCCTAACATTTGTTTTTCTCCAAAAGTTGAATTCCTAATCTTAATGACTGACAGAGCATATAAGATAATATAAATAGAGTCTCCTTACTTTGAGTCAAACTTTACCCGTATGACCAATTGAACTGTTCATACGAACAATATTTTTTTTTTCTTTATTGTGTGGAGTTTATCATTGGATTTCTATCATTATCATTTTGATTTATTTTTAGTTAGTTATTTGTCAATGTAGATGATTCGTTTGAAAACGAATTAATATTTATTTTTATACAATTAGTTATGGAAAGCGGGTTGTCACGGTGGAACTTGTTAAATATATTGATGGGGAATATACCTCGGGTTCAGGCTCCCCGTACGCGCCGTGCTCCTACTTGGGTCAGGTCAAACGGTTCGGGTCAGGGTCAACAGGTCAAGGTCAACCCACCAACCCTTAACCCTATAAATAGAGTCTTAGCCCTCCAAGTTAGGGGTTCATCCTCTTCCACTCTACACACTCTCTCTCTAAAAGTGTATTACTCTCTAAACACTCTCCCCTCTCTCTACAAACACACAGTTATTAATAAAAGAGGATCCATTTGAGTTATTTTCTTTGACATATTCTATTGTTCATACATACACTATAGTTTATACATTCCGGGTAATTATCCACATCATATATGTACCTAAAGAATACTAGCCCAACGTACCTACTCTATGGCCCGTAGGCTTGTTTGTCCCACCACTCAATTTTTAAAGAAGATAAATTTTTACTTTTGGTCTATAATTATTATACATGAATCATATTTAGTCATTGATTATTAAAATTTTATAATTAGGTGCATGACTATGTAATTTGTATCACACATTGTCCTGCTATCCAATTTTCTGACCAACTATTGTCGGAAAGTGCTCCTTTTGGAAGGAGCACCGCATTTGCTTCCGGTAAACCTGATTCTTCTTAAGTATGAACGATGTTGAGCGTATATACTATTGAATAAAATGTTCAACGTATAAGATCCCGTTACATTCAATCTCAATATTACATAAAGCGTATTGAACCCTACAACTTATATTGAACTTATATTTAGCATGTCATCTGATAGGATTGTAGGCTAGAAAGACACTTGTTCTTTAAATTGTGAGTTATATCACCAACTCCTCACCTAACCATTTATATCAACTTGAGCGTCGGGGAAGTGTTACTCGGTTGGATAACTGATTGCGTCATTTAGTTGAGTGTTTGTTTGCCGCCATAGACCAATTTAATCATCAAATTAGGCATGTCTTTCGAGTCATCGCTATATAATCATCAAATCAGGCATGTCTCTCAAATTGATCGAGAAGAACACAAAATCTACACGTAATTTTTAAAATTGATCCATATTAATAAAACTTGTTAAATAAATAGATCTGACTAAAACTCGATTCGAAGACTATTTTTCTCAAAAAATGGAATACAAAATAATCAAGAAGGAAGAAAAATCTCATAGGAATATTGAAGGGCTCAATCACCATAAGAGTGATTATTGATAATTATTCGCTCTCCATTACGAATCCTTGTATGTCCTATTTAGTTATTAATTATTAAAATTTTATAATTAGGTGTATGATTATTTAATTTGTATCACGTTTGGTCCTGCTATCTAATTTTCCGGCCAACCCATGCCGGGAATGCTCCTTCTTGGAGGAGCACTACATTTGCTTCTTCCATTATTTACAATGATCCATACTTGAATATTCGTCATTAAAAATATTCAGTCTAAAATTCGTCTTGTAAACCTAATTATTTTTTAGTATGGACGATGTTGAGCGTAGACAATATTGAATAAAATATTTAACATATAAGATCCCATTACATTCCATCTCAATATTATATATATTACATAAAGCGAATTGAACCCTAAAACTTATATTGAGCATTGTCATTGCGATGTGATAAGATTGTAGGCTAGAAAGACAACATTTACTTGTTCTTTGAATTGCGAGTTATATAACCAACTCCTCACCTAATCATTTCTATCAACTTGAGCGCCAGGGCCTTAGTGTTACTCGATTGGATATTATCGTGCCGTTTAACTAAATACTGATTTGTCACCATAGACCAATTTGATCATCAAATTAGAAATATCTCTCGAGTTTATCGCTATTCAATAATTAAATTAGGCATGTCTATCAAGAAGAACAAAAAATATACAAGGTAAGTTTTTCAATACAACATATAACTTTTTTAATTGATCGATATTAAGAAAATTTGTTAAATAAATAGATCTGACTAAAACTCTATCCGAAAAATATTTTTCTCAAAAATGGAATAGAAAATAATCAAGAAGGAAAACAATCTCATAGGAATCTTGAAAGGCCCAATCACCATAAGAGTGATTTATTGATAATTATCCACTCTTCATTATGAATCCTTCCATATCCGAATTTCACCGCACTCTCGATAAGCATTGGTCAAAACTCTGCTCTCTTTGAACGACCCTTTCTTCCCCTCTCTCTCTAAACCTACCCCTTTTCTTGTCTTTCTTGAAAGGAACTGCAAAAATGGAAGATAAATCAATGGCATCCGAGTCGACCCACCACATCGAATCCGACCACGGGTGGCAGAAGGTGTCGTATTCCAAGAAGCATAAGAAGAATCAGCAGAAGCCGGCGGCTTCAGATTCGTCTAGGATCGTCGCCAATGGATCTGTCGGAGCCACTGTGTCCGGCGTCGACAATGTGTTTAGGTCGCTGGAGAAGCAATCCGAGGAGCGGCGCAGCAGAATTGAGGCTCAGAGAGCCGCGATGTTCCTCGAGGACGAGGCTCCGGTGAGATCGGCGGCGAAACACCGCTCGGACGATGAGGATGAGGACAGCGATTCCTGGGGCGCTGATCGTGGGAGTGGCGTGCAGAATGGAGAGGTGGATGGGAAGAAGAAGGAGAAGCAAAAGAAGCCGAAGAAGCCGAAGGTCACCGTCGCTGAAGCCGCCGCCAAGATCGATGCGTCTGATTTATCGGCTTTCCTTGATGAAGTCTCTGTAAGATCATTAATTCTCTGTTGATTTATTTATTTTAATTTTTTTTTAGTAAAGTTCGTTTCTTTTTTAATTAAATCTAATTAATCATCTTTCCATTTTGATTCAAGGAATCGTACGAATCGCAACAAGACATACTTTTGATGCGATTTGCTGATTATTTCGGGCGTGCATTCTCAGCTGTGAATGCTTCACAGTTTCCATGGTTGAAATTGTTCAGAGAGTCATTGGTTGCAAAGATTGCAGATGTGAGTAGAAATCTATCTGTTATTTTAGCCCTAATTGAACAAAAGAATGCATTTTGGGGCCTTTAAGCTGTGTATTTGTTTTGAAATGTTTTGGATTTGATGGAAATGGATGCATTTTATGGACTTTGAATCTTATGGACTAGATTGTTACTTGATGAATTTGTTAAAACTGGATAAATATGGAATCTTGCAGGATTAATGATCTTTGCCTTTGTAATTTCTTTAATGATTTATTATTAACTGATTTTTTTTTTTCTACCAATAGGTCCCTGTCTCTCATCTCTCTGAACCTGTTTACAAGACTTCAATTGACTGGATCAATAAACGGTCTTATGAGGCTCTTGGACCCTTTGTGTTATGGTTGCTAGACAGTATCCTTGCTGATTTGGCAATTCAACAATCTGGTTCTAAGGTCTCCAAGAAAGGTGTCCAACAAACTTCCTCAAAATCTCAGGTATTATCTCTTACAACTTTTACATGAAAAAGTGCTTCTTGCCACCATCATTCATAAATCTTGTTAAGAACCAAAATCAAAACGGGACATTTTGGTTGGGATTGATGTGCTTGATCTTTTGCCTTTCTAAATGTGATGTTCAGGCCTTGTTTTCAGTTTGAATTTGATTGTTATCATGTGTGTGTGATGTGTAAGCTTATGTACTGCTAACAGGTGGCTATATTTTTGGTTCTATCAATGGTATTGCGACGGAAACCTGATGTTTTGATCAATATAATGCCAACCTTGAGGGAAAACACGAAGTATCAAGGACAAGATAAGCTTCCTGTTACTGTTTGGATGATAGCTCAGGTCCTACCTTGCAACATTATTCTTCAATGCTACTCTCATTGCTTATAATGAATTAGCATGTGATATAAAAGCTATAATCTTTTTGTGCAGGCTTGTCAAGGTGATCTGTGTGTAGGGTTGTATCTTTGGGCACATTGGATCTTGCCTTTAGTCGGTGGCAAATCGGGATCTAATCCACAGACAAGGGACTTGATTTTGCAGTTGGTGGAAAGGTTGGTTTCCTAATCCGGTTTGTTTGTGCTCCTATTTTTCACTTTTGGTTTTGTGACGGTATTTGAATGTGTTTATTTTCATGGTTTTAGGATTCTGTCTGTTCCAAAAGCTCGCAGTATTTTAGTAAATGGTGCTGTTAGGAAGGGAGAGCGTTTGGTGCCACCATCCGCACTTGATTTGCTGTTACGAGTGACGTTTCCTGCTTCTTCAGCACGAGTTAAGGTAGGAATCCGACACTTGTGGTTAGACTATAAACTCATGCGATTAGCATTATTAGGAACGTGAAATGAGCTCTCGGAGCGAATCGGGTGGAGAATTCCGGGATAACCCTGGTTCGATTCTCACAAGTGACGATTCTCTTTGGGCCAGCTCCTGTGCCTCTCGGAGCGAATCGGGTGGACCTAGACTGTTAAACGGAAACGGACAGAGAAAGACCCGAACCACATTGTGGTTTACACCCAAAAAAAAAGGAACCTGAAATATTTATATCAGGAAACTTGTGGCATTGTCACTTAGCTTTTATTTTATTTCTAAATTTTATTTTTATGTTTTTATTTTTGTGTTTCAGGCTACCGAAAGGTTTGAGAAAATATATCCCACTCTCAAAGAGATTGCTCTTGCTGGTTCTCCTGGCAGCAAAGCAATGAAGCAAGTGTCGCTTCAGATCTTTGCATTTGCTACTAAGGCTGCTGGGGAAGGTATCTTGGACTCGAAATTTTCTTCCTTGTCGTGTTTTGGTTCATGTCTGAGAGGCTTAAGCGAGTTACGAGTATTTACATGTGCTACTTTACAGGTATTTCCGAACTATCTAAGGAAGGGACGAGCATATTTATATGGTGTTTGACCCAAAATGCTGAGTGTTTCAAGCAGTGGGTATGGTCTATATGTCACCCTTTAGATTATATATTTTTACTCCTGTGATAACGAATTTTATAATATAATGGTCAATTCAATTCGAACAGGATAAGATATATCTGGATAACATAGCAGCGAGTGTTGCTGCCTTGAGAAAGCTCAAAGAAGAGTGGAGAGTGTTGTCTGCAAATCAATCTTCGCTTGTTGTTGCCAGAGAAACTCTCAAGGGTTTCAGGAACAAGGTAGGACTTTTCTTGATGTATATGCATATATTCAATTCATCCCGTGTTCTAGGGATGTCAATTGTACCCGTAGTCGACAGGGAACTCGACTCCCCACTCCGACGAGGACGAAAATAAGGGATGGGGATGGGGGATTTGTAATTCCCCGCCCTGTGAACAAAAATATACATATATAACTATATGCATTATAGACACACACACACGCACAAATATATATATATATATATATATATATATATATATATATATATATATATATATATATATATAGGGTCAGGTTCCCGTGCAGACAGTGCTTCCCATGCAGTCCCTCACAGTACACATAAATGCACCACAAAGTCTTTGAAAATGCACCATTTGGTGCGGTGCGGTGTGGTGCATTGGTGCATTTTCGAACATTGTGCGGTACATTTTTGCATACCTAATGGTGAATCCGCACCAGCTGCACAGGAAGCACTGTCCGCATTTGAACCAATATCTATATCTATATATATGTAAATATATCTATATCTATATATATAATTTTAGAAGCATTCTTGCCCATTGTATGTCGTACTTATTGTGAGCATATATCTGTTAATGTGTATTCAACTATTAGCTTAAGCTTTTAGTTGAGATGGAGCACATGCTTCACTTTGGTATCAGAGCCAGACCAAAGGTCATGGGTTCGAATCTCAACGCCACTCGTAAGCGACTACGGTTTACCGGTCCACGTGTTGGTTGGAATCCACCGTACACGTGAGGGGACGTGTGTCCGTTAATGTGTATTCAACTATTAGCTTAAGCTTTTAGTTGAGATGGAGCACATGCTTCAATTGGAGATGCATCTTTTGATAGCATGCTTTATTGTAAATTGCTTATAGTTCTTTAAGTTGAAGATGAATATATATGAGCTATTTGTTTTATTTTTTTAAAAAAAATTTAATCTTTTTTATAAGTTATGGGGAGATATTTTCCTTCATTATTCTTGTGCAAGTTGCTGTTGCCAAGCTTGGCACATACATTTATGTTGCCATTACTTCATACATATCTATATATTTTGGGACGGTTGAGGAGATTGGGGGGGGGGGGGGGGGGGGGGGGGTTATTGAAATTCAATGCCTGGACCCTTGAACCCACTTCATAAGTTTCTATATTTAGCCATTTTATCTGAATTCTTATTATTGGTCAAACTTTCTGTAGAATGAGGAAGCATTAAGTGACGGAGTCGATGCTAAACATCAATCACTGCTTAAAGACGCTGACAAGTACTGCAAGGTTTTGCTGGGAAGGCTGTCTCGTGGACACGCATGCTTGAAGAGTTTGGCCGTCATCGTGGTCTTACTGGGCGTGGGAGTAGCTGTTACTAACCCCGATATACAGTCGTGGGACTGGGACAAGTTGAACCACAAGTTGATGGTTCTGTTCAACGCCCCCCTCCGATCTTAGTAGCTTTCTTCGCCCGACGAGTGAGACAGAGGATACGAGGTATTTATTTCAACGAAAAAGCTAATAAAATTTGTCCAGAATAAAAAGAAAGGACAAAAATATGTATGGGGTAGTTTCAGGGTCTCGTCGAGGTGAGTTGTGAGGTATGACTGGAATTTTCGCGAGGAAAGGATGAAATAGGTAAAAAAAAATGGAGAGGGGACTAAATGGCTCTCTCTTTTTAGCTCTAAGTGAAGTTTGATCTCAAGTATTTAGTTATTGGCTCAGCTCTAACAACATCTTTGTTTCTGGCAAAAAACTGTCTTACAGAGAGAAATTGTACTTCAAAAGAAGGATTTTGTTATGTTCCTTTTTTTGTGTTCCTTTTATTCAATCCTGTAAGCATTGTTTTTTGAATGTGTTGGGTCATAGCTATTTGCCCCTAAAAGTTTGGGTCCTAAACTTAAGGGTCCTTCACGACTCGTCTTCTTCTGAAGAAGACGATTGGTTAAGGGGATAAATGTTGGGTCCTAAACTTAAGGGTCGTTCACGTCTTGTCTTGTTTTGAAGAAGACGATTGGTTAAGCAGATAAATGTTGGTTCCTAAACTTAAGGGTCCTTCACGTCTCTTGATTGGTTAAGGGGATAAATGTTGGGTCCTAAACTTAAGGGTCCTTCGCGTATCTTGTTCTGAACAAGACAATTGGTTAAAGAGCTAAATGATAGAATATGCTTCAATTGACCTATAAATCTCTAAGTGTTTATACACTAGGCTGCACAACAAGTTTGTTGACTAATTAAGTTGTGTTTTGAGTGTTTATTTGCCTACTATAATTAAAATGGTGTGGTAATGTTTTGCTCTTAATAACAATGTAGAAAACCTTGATAATGAGGTTAAGGATGTTAATCAGGCCAACTCATTTGGTTTCAAAATAGCTCTGTCGTGTTGTAGAATTTATTAGTTCGGACTTATTGATTTTTTTTTTGTTGGTTTCAAAATTTTTTGTCCTAATTTTAAAACCCCTGGTTTTAAACTAGTATATTTTGCATCAATAAATATTACTTTTAAAAATCATTTAATGAATATAAATTTTCATTTTCAAACTCAAACTCAAAAACATAATGCATGTAACAATTAATTTGAAATAGGAAAATGTTTCTTTTTTCGTATGATTTTACCTCCTAGAATTCCAGTTTTTTCAAGCCAGACGGTAAAGAAATGCATTACGAAATATATTCACACTATAATATAATAATTATAATAAGTTTTTTTTAATAAAAAATATTTTATTTTGTAATAAATTTATTAATATATTTACTTAAATAAATATGAAATGAAATTTATCAAACTCTAACTTACCATTCGTACGTTACCGACATTTTCAGCACTTTAAGTTGTGTGATTAATTGTTTTATCTTTTAAGAGCATAGATAGATGTTGAAGGGTTCACTTCATCACATGAAGGCTATATATGCTGCTTGTGAAGTAGTCATCAATCATGTAGACTTTGACACTTCAACCATCATCTAACCCAAATGCATCTCCTCATGGGACCAAATTAAAATTTATCTCTTTCTTGTGGTTGGGTTGGTCTCTGCAGAAAAAAATGATGTTTTGTAGTTCCAAAGAATTGTACATTTGAATTAGTATATTTCAGTCTAATTAGGTGAGTTCAACCGAGGTGGGTGGGCAGAGATGGTGAGAATTGAGTGATATGGTGTGTTTTATCTTAATTAAAAGTTTGAGATCGAGTTGGTAGTTGAACTGCGCGTACGTGGACCGTATTCTGGGTGACGCGGAGATTGGCATGGAGTTGGTTTTGATATCAAATTGAAGGATCTGTTTTGTCTAAATTAAAAGTCTAAACTGATAATTGAATTACATCCCCCGGCACACACACACACACACACACATAGCTAGAATAAAGATCAAATGCGGAGGACGTGTCCAGGTGAAACATGCGTTGAGATGATAGCCATTGATTTTGCCACAATTGGTTAAATTTTGAAACTTGAAGGATCATGGGAGGTTAACTTGAATCACGAATGGTTAAATTTGAAAGTCGAAGGACTACAGATGGTCAATTTGAAAGTTTAGGACTAAACGTGACAAAACCAATATACTCGGAGGACCTCAGATGATATTAACTCTTAGTTGATATCCCGAGTCTCTTGTCTGAAAATATAGAAATATAAGTCTGGCGAAGGCAATTGGCTCTCAATCTGGTCCTATGATCTGCACCTCCTCTTTCAGTAATATATTCTTTGTTTTTGTTTTTTTTTTAAAATAAAAATAAAAATTAAATACAAGTTCGAGTTTCACCTCATACATTATATAATTGTGATTACTGTCATTTGTTTATTTTTCTTTAATATATGGTAGTGGCATTATATTGTTGAGTTCAACTGACATTGGTGTTAAAGTTGATGAAGAATTTGTGGGCCGATGGTTAGTTGTAAAGTTGGTATATCATAAACCTCACCATTGAGGAGTAGGTTGGTTAAAAATGGATAATATAAAGACAAAGAATTCTATCTCTGCCGTAGAAAAAGGATAATATATATCAATTTTAATGGCTAGGATTAGAAAAAGTTAAAGCTTAACAATCACAAGATTAGGGCATGAGATTGCTAGTCGAATTCACTCAATCTCATGTACCAAACATAGCATAAGATTGTCTTATTACTTGAGTAGGTGCTAACTTATGCACAAAGAAAAATTAAATAACAACAACAATAATAACAAAATTTAAGTGTGTTTTGTACCACCCAACATAATTTTAGAATTCAACAAATAAGATAGTAAGAAGTTTTATTAGTGTGATAATAACTAACTTTACTTAAAAAAAAAAAAAAAAAACATAAGCAAAACAATCACTACATCATATCATTAAGGTTTGAGATTTTAATTTGATTAAAAAGTATCTAAACTCATAAGTCGTCTGACTCAATTCCTCAAATGTTGATTATAATATTTATTTCCTTCCTTTAGTGTTTGAGATCTACCATGAGCCACTTGGTAAGATTTTCTCATATATATATATATATATATATATATATATATATATATATATATATATATATATATATATATATATATATATATATATATATATAGAGAGAGAGAGAGAGAGAGAGAGAGAGAGAGAGAAGGAGAGGGAGAGAGAGAGGAAGCCGTTCAGATGAGAGCGGGTTATTCAGGAGAGAACTAAGAATCACTCATAGTCATCCATGTGTTCAGATCTAACGGATCAGAAACACTGATTTTTTTAAAAAATACGGTGGTATTTTTATAAATAATTGAATATCAAAGTGCAATTAAATTATGTTAAAAGTGCAAGTAACAATTTCATCATATAGTGCACCTAAGTGCAAGTAAAATGTATTACAAGTGTAAATAAAATGTAAACTGAGCATCAATATTAAGTGCACCTAACGATATCATTAGTTGCACCAAACATTATCATTAAGTGCATCTATGTGAACGACTTTATCATTAGGTGCACGAATGTTAATAAGGTAAATTACTTGCACTTGTAAGTTGTAAGTGAAAATAATTGCACTTGTAAGTGATTTTACCATGTAGTAGTGTGATCAATGAAGTAAGTATCATTCTAATTACATTTTAGTTTCATTTGATAGTATTGCTCTATTTTTCAGTTTCATTTTTCACACATAGTAGTTTCATTATAGCAATACCAAAGTATCATTTTAATTCTTGACAATATTACATTATTGTATGAGCTCGATTTTGTAGTTTCATTTTCCACACACACTATTTTTTTATTTTTTATTTTTGAAATAAAAGAGCTAATTCATTAATCATACAATGAAAAGTTTACAATAAGATCGATGGAATGATAAAACATTCTTACAATCAGACATTGAAACAAATTTCCAATGCTACACGAAACTTAATCGCTGACTGTTTTTCAAGATTGAAGCTGAATTTGTTTGGAGAACCTGAAGCTTCTTTGATATTGTTAATGATCTTGCTACCCAAGTCTGACTCTATTGCTGCTCTTCTATCCATAGACAATATATCCATTAATCTGAATTGCATATCAAGGTTCAGATCTTTTTGGTGCTTGGGATGAAGCAAACATACTCCATTATTAGATAAATTGTTTCACCTTATAATAATGTTAAATTATTATTTTAATTACACCGCACGTTCATTTGACAATATATGTTATTGTATAATTATGGAATTTAGCTTCATTTTCCACACATACTAGTTTCATTTTAACAACATTAAAGTATCATTTTAATTATACAGTACTACAGTTCCATTTGACAATATCGTTGTTGAATGAGCTCTGTTTTTTAGTTTCATTTTCTATTTTTCTACACACACTAATTTCATTTTAGCAACACAAAAGTATCATTTTTAATTCTACCACAATTTCATTTGACAACTATGGTCTACACCGTATATTTTGTTACGTCGACTTTTAAAAATTAAATCATGTATGGTGACCCCTAATAAAAATTTTTTGGGTCCGCCCTTGACGCAAACACATAAGATTTTATGTCTACTCCCGCAAATCGTGTCAAACTAATTGTTGTTATATGTTAATAATTTATATTTTTATGCACATAAAGTTCATTGGTGATAAATAAATCAGAGGGGAAGAGATGTATACGTAGCATCTTTAGCAGTCAAAAGTTTTATTCACTTTTTTTTTTTTTTTTTTTTATAAAATAAAAATTATTTGTAGTGAAAATTTGGCACAATTTTTGTAATAATTCAGTAAAACAAAAAGCAATTGGATTGAGGAGAATAAAAACAAGATTGTTACTGTTACCGGGCCATGTTATGTTCCCATGAACTACAGAGACGACATATACTTCTATGTTTTGGTAGCAACGAGGAATCCACCTCGAGGATGTGTACTAGGTAATTGTATTATGTTGTAAAATTTGTAACAAATTATACAGAAAAAAATAAATTGTATTAAGAAGATCTCGTGTGACGAGTTTGGTTCAAAAAGTGTTGAATATTAACTTTGTTTAACTTGATAGGTAAATATAATTTAATAGAAAATTAATTAATACTTGTAAATATTCAATTACCTGGAAAACATTACTAGAGAAGTCAACGAGGCAAAGCGCGGGGTGGGGCATACCCTGTCCCTGGCCTGACATTTTTCCCAGCTTATTCTCCGCTCCCATCTCTATTCCTACCATACAATGACAAGAATGCTTTTAACACACACACACACACGTGTGTGTGTGTGTGTGTGGCTATAATACATATATAACTATATGCCATATAGTTATATATGTATATTTTTGGAGACGTGGTGGAGCGGTGAGAGTACTCCCCATCCTCGCCCTAATTTCCGACAGGGAATTTAAAATTATCCCGAT